TCTCGTGGCCTGGTTGCTTGCCCCTGAGGGAGACCCGGATGCACTAGACATCCCCACTCCGCGCACCTACGCAGAGGCGATCTCGGGTCCCTACTCCTCTCAGTGGCAGACAGCCATGGACGCAGAGATGGCATCCTGGAAGTCCACAGGCACCTACGTCGATGAGGTTCCCCCTCCTGGGGCGAACATCGTCGATGGCATGTGGATTTTCAGGGTGAAGCGGCCGCCAGGTTCTCCGCCTGTCTTCAAGGCTCGTTACGTTGCTAGAGGCTTCAGTCAGCGTCAGGGGGTCGACTTCTTCCAGACCTTCTCCCCCACCCCGAAGATGACCACTCTTCGGGTTCTGCTGCACGTTGCTGCTCAGCGTGACTACGAGCTTCACTCTCTTGACTTCAGCACAGCGTTCCTGCAGGGCAGCCTGCACGAGGAGATCTGGCTGCGCCGCCCACCTGGCTTTACTGGGTCGTTTCCCCCTGGTACCCAGTGGAGTCTCCGCCGGCCAGTCTACGGTCTCCGCCAGGCGCCACGTGAGTGGCACGACACACTGAGGACTACTCTTGCGGCTCTTGGGTTCGCGCCGTCTACTGCTGACCCGTCGCTGTTTCTGCGCACAGACACGTCGCTGCCGCCGTTCTACATCCTCGTGTACGTCGACGACTTGGTCTTTGCTACTGCTGACACTGAGGCACTCGCTCGTGTGAAGTCGGAGCTGCAGAAGAGACACACCTGCACTGACCTGGGTGAACTGCGTAGCTACCTTGGCTTGCAGATCACCCGGGACAGAGCTCGCCGCACCATCACCCTGACTCAGTCACACATGGTGCAGCAGGTCCTTCAGCGCTTCGGCTTCCAGTTCTCCTCACCACAGGCCACACCTCTGGCTACCAGCCACTCGCTCTCAGCTCCACCTTCGGACGAGTCCGTAGAGCCGAGTGGCCCGTACCCAGAGCTTGTAGGCTGCCTCATGTACCTGATGACTTGTACGCGACCTGACCTCGCGTACCCTCTTAGCATCCTTGCTCGTTACGTTGCGCCTGGGAGACACAGGCGAGAGCACTGGGAGGCTGCTAAGAGGGTGCTGCGTTACCTGTGCAGTACATCAGGCATGGGGCTGGTGCTTGGAGGACGCGACAGAGTTGTCCTCACTGGTCACTCGGACGCCTCTTGGGTGGACGACCTGGCTACGCAGCGGTCGTCGCAGGGTTACACCTTCAGCCTTGGCTCTGGTTCTGTCTCGTGGCGGTCCACCCGCTCTTCCTCTGTTCTCGGCTCTAGTTGTGAGGCTGAGATCTACGCCACAGCCATGGCTGCACAGGAGTTACGCTGGCTCACCTACCTGCTGACTGACTTGGGAGAGCGGCCTAGTTCTCCTCCAGTTCTGTACGGTGACAACAAGGCGGCTCTTGCCTTGTGTCAGGAGCACAGACTGGAGCACAGGACGAAGCACATTGCTCTTCGCTACTTTCTTGCTCGAGAGCTTCAGCAGCGCGGTCAGCTTCGGCTTGTGTACGTGGACTCGAAGGCCAACACTGCTGATATCTTCACCAAGGCGCTCCCGCCTAGTGATCATCAGCGGCACTGTACTTCTTTAGGCCTTGTGTCCACGTTTCCTCACTTACTCACTGCTTGACATTCTTTGTACTGTACTTTATATATATCTTGTTGCTTGCTTGCTAGGTTTTGATCACTGTGTTGCTTGTCTTGTACTATATCTAGCACTGCATGTGAACTGGCCTTGTGGCCTTTACTTGTGCTCGGAGTGTGGTGACGTTGTGATCCACCCTGGGCTTTGCTTTGCTTTGCTGGACTGGTCTTGTGACCCTTTGTTCTCCCCCACTTTGCCTATGGGGGTGTGTTAAACTGTATTATGCTTGTAGGCTGTAGTGGGGTAGCCAATATGGGGTACAACCCCAACTAGGGTTTCATATTTGTACCCAAACTTCTGCTAGTTCAATCATTCTTGCCTAGTGATTCTGACACAAGGAAGATAGAAGGTTGTGGAGAAAAACTGGGTGGTCCATTGCAAACAGCCACTGCCCTGCTGGCAGGCATGCTTCCATGAGCAGCTTGCGCATGGTGGTCTGCAAAGTCCTGTTCATCCGTTCTGCCACGCCTTGCTGTTGGTGCTGGTGAGGCAGCGACTACAACTTCTTAATTCCCCTTTTTGCAAGATAGGTTATGAAGCACTGTGAGAGGTACTCGAGAGCAACATCAGTGTGGAAACTTTTTGGCTTCGAGTCGCTCTGTCGTTCAGCTGCAGGTAGCCATGCCACGAATGCTTCGTAAGCGAGATCACGCGATAGAATGATCGCGTCAGACGTAACGTGTAGCAGCGTTGATGAAGGTAATGACGTAATTCAAATCTGCTCGCCCTTCTTGCCGTGGTATTACGAAGATATCGCTGTAAACTTTTTCTAGTGGCTTGTATGCAGGAACACCTGGGTTGTGATGAGAAGGAAACGGTTGTCAAGAGAGATGTGCTTCGGGACACAGCGTGCAGATGTTTCGAGGCTAGCGCAGCTCCTTTCCATCGAGAAGAAGAAGGGCGTCTTTGTCAAGAACTCCCACGCGAATCGTGTCGTAAGTTGTGATTCCGCTTGGATGACCTAACCACTTGTGCCAACTCTCCTCTTAAGCAGCATGTCCCGCAGATCGACGAGACAAATTGGAGTTAGCGTAAAAGGGCTGGTGCTGCTGCTGGTGCCGCTGCTGGTCCTGCTGCTGGTGCCGCTGCTGGTCCTGCTGCTGGTGCCGCTGCTGGTCCTGCTGCTGGTGCCGCTGCTGGTGCCGCTGCTGGTGCCGCTGCTGGTGCCGCCGCTGGTCCTGCTGCTGGTACCGCTGCTGGTCCTGCTGCTGGTGCCGCTGCTGGTCCTGCTGCTGGTGCCGCTGCTGGTCGTGCTGCTGGTGCTGCTGCTGGCGCCGCTGCTGGAGAGGTGGCGGCGGGGGCTGCTGCAGGGGGAGGTTGATGCAGAACAGCCTGGAAGAAGTGGTGAAGGAGAGGGGAGAGTGGGGGGAGGGTAGAGGTAGAGAGGGTAACAGGGGGCGGTGCACCAAGGATACTGTCTTGTGACCTGGTATGGGGGTACCGGGTTAGTACAGTGCGGGGAGGGGGGGAAGGACGAGTCGGCAGCGAGGGAGGTGAAGGAGGGGCGGGAGGGGCACTAGGAGAGGAATGTGTGGGGGAGACAGGAGAGGACAGAGGTTCCGGGTCAAATATATCACCAGACAAGGGAGGGGCACCGTGGGACGAGGACGACGGTGGGGGAGGGGGAGGGAGGATGGGGGGAGGAGGAAGTAGAGGGGGAGGGGTGGTGTCAGACCAGACAAGGGGACGGGGAAGACGGGGGAGTGGGTCAGTGGATGGGGGAGAGGAGTAGTAAGGAGTGGACTCATCAAAGACCACATCCCTACTGCGGAATAGACGACCTGAGGGGGGATGGAGGAAAAGGTAGTCAGGTGAGGAGGAGTTATGACCAAGAAAGATGCAGGGAAGGGTACGAGGGGCAAGCTTTCCCATAGAACGGGAGCGGTCAGCGGGGTGAAGAAGGACATAAGCCTTTGAGCCCCAGACACGAAGAGATGAGACATCAGGCTTGTTGTTCGTCCACAGCTCAGTGGGGGTGGTGGATGGGAGAAGAGGGTGAGGGTAAAGGTTAGTAAGCAGGGCGGCATGAAGGAGGGCGTAGCCCCACAGAGAAGGAGGGCAGGAGGCGTGGACAAGGAGACACCGGGCAGTTTTGGTGATCTCTCGAACACGACTTTCAGCCACACCGTTCTGCTGTGGGGAGTGAGGGAGGGTGTAAGTCTGAAGAATGCCATGAGACTGGCAATAGGAGGATATTTGGTTGTTAAGGAACTCACCACCACCATCAGAGTGAAGGCGGCGAACAGGGCGCCCAAAATGGGTGTTTGCTCGCTCGAGCCAGGCGATGATCGCAGCCGGGGCATCTGCCTTCGTCCGAAGGAGAGAGACGGACGAGTACCGACTGTGATCATCGACGAGTACGAGGAGGTATCGATGGCCCTGGCGAGTGGGAGAGGGATTGGGGCCCCAGAGGTCCATGTGAACAAGATCAAGTGGCTGAGCAGCAGCGGAGGGGGAGCTCCGGTGCGGCTGCTGCTTGAGCTTGCTCTGAACGCAGACGGTGCAGGGGGGGGCAGGGGATTTGGGGAGAGGAGGGAGGGAGGAGGGGAGACCATGGAGGAGACCGGAGGAAACAGAGGAGCGTAGAGTAGCGAAGTTAGGGTGACCTAGCCTGTGATGGAGGAGGACGGCAGGGTGGGAGAGGGAGCGACAGGAGCAAGAGGAGTCAGGGGGGGGGCGTGAAGGGAGGTCCGGGTTAGTGGGAGGGAGAGGAGGGGGTGGGATGAGAGGGTGGAGGGGAGGACGAGAGATGACCTGACAGGAGGGGAGGCGAGGAACACGAAGGGTGTACAGACGGGAGCGAGGGCAAAATGGAATGCGAGAAATGAACTGACCGGTGGCGGAATGGTAGAGAGCGCAATAGTTAGCATAAGCTGGGAATACTGTGGTGATACCGGCTTGTTGAAGGGACCTTTGCGAGAGGAGATTAGCGCGAAGAGAGGGTATGTGGAGACCGGTGACAGTGCCTGAGGGGAAGAGTGGGCAGGGGAGAGTCGAGGTGTTATGGCAGGGGATAGAGAAGCTGCTATCGGCGCCAAGGAGGGAGGTAGGCGTTGGGAGGGGGCGCAAGGTGCCAGCATCGCGAAGAACTGTGTCAGTGGCGCCGCTGTCAAGGACAAAGTCGACAGTGGAGGGGAGGGAGGAGGAAGGGACAGAGGACTGGAACGCAGTTTCTTTAGTGCTAGAGGAGTATGTGGCAGGGGCAGCTGATGTGGCTTGATTGACCATACCAGCAATACCAACGGATGAGAGAGGTGGGACATTGCTTGAAGTGGCGGAGCTTGTGGAACAATGCGGAACTGAGTTCTGCTGGGAAGTTGGGGGAGGAGGAGGAAGAGGCAGCTGCGCTTGTGCGCTAAGGTGCTGCTGCAGGCGGTGAAGCAACTGCTGGAGCTGGAGGAGGAGGTGCCAGAGCTGCTGGTGCTGGTGCTGCTGCTGCTGCTGCTGCTGCTGCTGCTGCTGCTGCTGCTGCTGCTGCTGGTGCTGCTGCTGCTGCTGCTGCTGCTGCTGCTGCTGCTGCTGCTGCTGCTGCTGCTGCTGCTGCTGCTGCTGCTGCTGCTGCTGGTGCTGGTGCTGCTGCTGCTGCTGGTGCTGGTGCTGCTGCTGCTGCTGCTGCTGCTGCTGCCGCTGCCGCTGCCGCTGCTGCTGCTGCTGCTGCTGCTGCTGCTGCTGCTGCTGCTGCTGCTGCTGCTGCTGCTGCTGCTGCTGCTGCTGCTGCTGCTGCTGCTGCTGCTGCTGCTGCTGCTGCTGCTGCTGCTGCTGCTGAGGAGGAGGAGGAGAGAAGGGTGGACTCGGGGCATGGTGGGCTTGGGTGGAGATTTTGCACTGAAGTCCCCGAGTCGGGCCATAGCTTGGCACATATTCACGAGGAGAGAAGGCTGCTGCTGCGCCGCAGCCTGCGCTCAAACCCCTGATACCACAATATCCTGCGAGTCTCCCTTGACCACCACCACAGCTACCACTATGCCCTCCTCCATGCCCACCGGCACCACTTCTGCTGCATGCCAGGGCGACTATTGCCATGGAGGGAGCAATGTGAGTGTGGGCGGTTACGGCATGGCGCAGGCGAGCAGGGCATGAAGGTGTGCGGTATGCGTTTGCAAATGTGCGGTATGCCGGGGAGGTGGGCAGGGGGCGGACGAGGGGACGGGGGACAGCGAGCGGGGAAGGAGGGCGTGCGACGAGTGCGCGGACGGGGAGGGCGCGGACGAGCAGGGCGCGCGGACGGGCAGGGCGCGGACGAGCAGAGCGCGCGGACGGGCAGGGCGCGGACGAGCAGGGCGTGCGGACGGGCAGGGCGCGGACGAGCAGGGCGTGCGGACGGGCAGGGCGCGGACGAGCAGGGCGTGCGGACGGGCAGGGCGCGGACGCGAAGGGCGGACGAGCAGGGCGCGCGGACGGGCAGGGCGCGGACGAGCAGGGCGTGCGGACGGGCAGGGCGCGGACGAGCAGAGATGGGCGCGAAATGGTCAGATTTCAGCGCGGGAGATGCAGATCTGGTCGCGCGGAGGGCAGATCTGGGCGCGTGGAGGGCAGATCTGGGCACGCGGAGTGCAGATCTGGACGTGCGGAGGGCAGATCTGGGTGCGAAATGTTCAGATCTGGGCGCGGGAGGAGGAGATCTGGTGGCGCGGAATCCAGATCTGGGCGCGGAATGATCAGATCTAGGCGCGGGAGGAGTAGATCTGGTCGCAGGGAGTGCAGATCTGGGCGCTGGAGTTGCAGATCTGAGCGCGGGGAATGCAGATCTGGGCGCTGGAGTTGCAGATCTGAGCGCGGGGAATGCAGATCTGGGCGCTGGAGTTGCAGATCTGGACGTGCCTTGGAGGGCAGCGCCTTAGGGGGCGCACGGGGAGGGAGGACAGCGCCTTAAGGGTGCGTGAAGGGAGGGCAGCTCCGTGGGTGGGGCTAGATCTGAGGAACGGGGAGGAATAGATGTGAGCTCGGGAGGAGTAGATCTAAGCTCGGGAGGAGTAGATGTGAGCTCGGGAGGAGTAGATCTGAGCTCGGGAGGAGTAGATCTGAGCTCGGGAGGAGTAGATGTGAGCTCGGGAGGAGTAGATCTGAGCTCGGGAGGAGTAGATCTGAGCTCGGGAGGAGTAGATGTGAGCTCGGGAGGAGTAGATCTGAGCTCGGGGGGGATAGATCTGAGCTCGGGAGGAGTAGATGTGAGCTTGGGAGGAGTAGATCTGAGCTTGGGACGAGTAGATGTGAGCTCGGGAGGAGTAGATCGGAGCTCGAGAGGAGTAGATCTGAGCTTGGGAGCACCGTAGTAGGACTAGGTCTGAGGGACGGGGAGGAGAGGGTGGCCTTAGGATCGAGGGATTAAGGCGTGAGCCAATAGCTCATGATACCATGTTGAAAAGCTAGAAGAGATACATTGAATAATGAGCCAAGAGGCCCTTTAGTACAAACAATGAGCAAGAGAGAGATGAAAGGGAAGCTTACCCTATTGGCCAATAAGTTGGCCAATGGGTGAGCTTGCTTGTGACCCAAGCAACCACAAATGTGTGTTGGTTGGGATTGGTTGAGCTAGGGACCAATCCCAACCAACCACAAAATGTGGTTGGAGGGTACACTAAACAACCCCCCAATTTATAAGTGTACTACAGATCTAATTCTAGCCTATGTATGTTGTACAAATTATGAAATTACAACATTCCTCACATCTCCCTGCTCGCTTCCTCACATCTCCCTGCTCGCTTCCTCACATCTCCCAGCTCGCTTCCTCACATCTCCCTGCTCGCTTCCTCACATCTCCCTGCTCGCTTCCTCACATCTCCCTGCTCGCTTCCTCACATCTCCCTGCTCGCTTCCTCACATCTCCCTGCTCGCTTCCTCACATCTCCCTGCTCGCTTCCTCACATCTCCCTGCTCGCTTCCTCACATCTCCCTGCTCGCTTCCTCACATCTCCCTGCTCGCTTCCTCACATCTCCCTGCTCGCTTCCTCACATCTCCCTGCTCGCTTCCTCACATCTCCCTGCTCGCTTCCTCACATCTCCCTGCTCGCTTCCTCACATCTCCCTGCTCGCTTCCTCACATCTCCCTGCTCGCTTCCTCACATCTCCCTGCTCGCTTCCTCACATCTCCCTGCTCGCTTCCTCACATCTCCCTGCTCGCTTCCTCACATCTCCCTGCTCGCTTCCTCACATCTCCCTGCTCGCTTCCTCACATCTCCCTGCTCGCTTCCTCACATCTCCCTGCTCGCTTCCTCACATCTCCCTGCTCGCTTCCTCACATCTCCCTGCTCGCTTCCTCACATCTCCCTGCTCGCTTCCTCACATCTCCCTGCTCGCTTCCTCACATCTCCCTGCTCGCTTCCTCACATCTCCCTGCTCGCTTCCTCACATCTCCCTGCTCGCTTCCTCACATCTCCCTGCTCGCTTCCTCACATCTCCCTGCTCGCTTCCTCACATCTCCCTGCTCGCTTCCTCACATCTCCCTGCTCGCTTCCTCACATCTCCCTGCTCGCTTCCTCACATCTCCCTGCTCGCTTCCTCACATCTCCCTGCTCGCTTCCTCACATCTCCCTGCTCGCTTCCTCACATCTCCCTGCTCGCTTCCTCACATCTCCCTGCTTGCTTCCTCACATCTCCCTGCTTGCTTCCTCACATCTCCCTGCTTGCTTCCTCACATCTCCCTGCTTGCTTCCTGACATCTCCCTGCTTGCTTCCTGACATCTCCCTGCTTGCTTCCTGACATCTCCCTGCTTGCTTCCTGAGATCTCCCTGCTTGCTTCCTGAGATCTCCCTGCTTGCTTCCTGAGATCTCCCTGCTTGCTTCCTGAGATCTCCCTGCTTGCTTCCTGAGATCTCCCTGCTTGCTTCCTGAGATCTCCCTGCTTGCTTCCTGAGATCTCCCTGCTTGCTTCCTGAGATCTCCCTGCTTGCTTCCTGAGATCTCCCTGCTTGCTTCCTGAGATCTCCCTGCTTGCTTCCTGAGATCTCCCTGCTTGCTTCCTGAGATCTCCCTGCTTGCTTCCTGAGATCTCCCTGCTTGCTTCCTGAGATCTCCCTGCTTGCTTCCTGAGATATCCCTGCTTGCTTCCTCAGATCTCCCTGCTTGCTTCCTGAGATCTCCCTGCTAGCTTCCTGAGATCTCCCTGCTTGCTTCCTGAGATCTCCCTGCTTGCTTCCTCAGATATCCCTGCTTGCTTCCTCAGATCTCCCTGCTTGCTTCCTGAGATCTCCCTGCTTGCTTCCTGAGATCTTGCTGCTTGCTTCCTGAGATTGCTGCTTGCTTCCTGAGATCTTGCTGCTTGCTTCCTGAGATCTTGCTGCTTGCTTCCTGAGATCTTGCTGCTTGCTTCCTGAGATCTTGCTGCTTGCTTCCTGAGATCTTGCTGCTTGCTTCCTGAGATCTTGCTGCTTGCTTCCTGAGATCTTGCTGCTTGCTTCCTGAGATCTTGCTGCTTGCTTCCTGAGATCTTGCTGCTTGCTTCCTGAGATCTTGCTGCTTGCTTCCTGAGATCTTGCTGCTTGCTTCCTGAGATCTTGCTGCTTGCTTCCTGAGATCTTGCTGCTTGCTTCCTGAGATCTTGCTGCTTGCTTCCTGAGATCTTGCTGCTTGCTTCCTGAGATCTTGCTGCTTGCTTCCTGAGATCTTGCTGCTTGCTTCCTGAGATCTTGCTGCTTGCTTCCTGAGATCTTGCTGCTTGCTTCCTGAGATCTTGCTGCTTGCTTCCTGAGATCTTGCTGCTTGCTTCCTGAGATCTTGCTGCTGCTCCCCCCCTAACCTGCCCCTCTCCCCTTCCAGCCCCCCACCTGTGGCGGCATAAGTGGCAGCAGCAGCAGCGGTGCTCCTTCGCCTTTGATTTCTCAGATGCTGCTGCTGCGTCCCTCTCCTTTTCCTCTCGCCCCTCTCGCCCCACGCAGCCCACCCATGGGTGGCAGCAGCGGAGCAGTCGCCGTATGTGCGCACACAGGAGGGGCAGGATGAGTTGTAATGCCTGCTCCCTACTCTCTCTCTCTCACCGCCTCCACTCACCCCCTCTCCTCCCCCTCGCCCCACCCAGCCCATCCATGGGTGGCAGCAGCAGAGCAGTCGCCGTATGTGCGCGCGCAGGAGGGGCAGGATAAACTGTTGTTGATGCTCCTTTCTATCTGCCTCTCCTCATCCTCCTCTCTGCCCCCTCGCCCCACGCAGCCCACCCATGGGTGGCAGCAGCGGAGCAATCGCCGTATGTGCGCGCGCAGGAGGGGCAGGATGAGGACGTGGGGTTGCTGGACGGGTGAGGGGGAAGGCTGGGGTGAGGGGGGAGGTTGGGGTGGGAGGGAAGGTTGGGGTGGGAGGGAAGGTTGCGGTGGGAGGGAAGGTTGGGGTGGGAGGGAAGGTTGCGGTGGGAGAAAAGGTTGGGGTGGGAGGGAAGGTTGCGGTGGGAGGGAAGGTTGGGGTGGGAGGGAAGGTTGGGGTGGGAGGGAAACTATGGGAAAGGGCTTAACGCGTGGGTGGGTGGGCGTGGTAAGGGAGGGATGTGGGAGGCCGGGGGGGGGGGGAGGGCGGGGGGGGCGGGATGGGCTTGTGGGATAGAAGGCGGTTCTGCTCGGTGAACGGGGTTGCTTGTGTATTCTGTTGTCACAAGGGCCGGCTGTGCTGTGCTGTACGTGAGAGGGCTCAGCTCACACACTCTCTTATCTGCTTGTTGCTGCATCTACTCACGCTCGTCTCGTTGCTGCTGTGTATATCTATCCCATGCTTTCCGCTCCACACCCACTTCCGCTCCACACCCACCTCCGGCGCACCCCCTTCCTCCCCCCTTCCCCTCCTCCCCCGCTGCTCCTTTAAATGCCACCCGACCTGTTCTTCCTTCCTTCCCCTCAGTCGCATCCGCTCCTTGCCCCTGCCGCTGAACGCCAATTGCATCTAACCCCCTCTCAGCCTCGCTTGCTGTCGCTTCCATGCTTTCTCCATGCTTCTCCCCCCCATGCTGTCCCAACCCTGTCCCCTCTTTCCTACCTTCCCTTCCCCCCATCAGTCACATCCGCACCTGCCCCCATGCCATGAATCCTTACTGTGTCTCCTCCCTCCTCATCCCCTTCTGCTGCCTGTCCCGTGTATCCCCCATGCTTCTCCCACCCTCCCTCATCCCTCCCTCTCCCCCCCAACCAGTCGCATCCGCCCCTGCCCACTAGCGGTCACCCCAACTGTGTCTCCACCGCCTCCCGCCGCCTGGCCTCATGTCCCTGGCCTGTTTTCTCCATGCTCCCCTCCCTCTCCCCCCCACCCTCCTCACCCTCTCCCCCCCCCACTCTCCCCCCCACCCCCGCCCCTCTTCTCTCCCCACCAGTCGCATCCGCCCCTGTCCCTTGGCAGTCAACCCCAACTGCGTATCCACCTCATCCCTCAGCCTCGCCTCATGTCTCTCCCTTCTTTCCTCCATGCAATTCCCCCCTCCCCTCAACCCCCTTCCTTCCCCCTTTTCGCCCCCCTCTTATTAGTCGCATCCGCCCCTGCCCCCTAGCGGTCAACCCCAACTGTGTCTCCACCTCCTCCCTCAGCCTCGCCTACTCACCGCCCTGGACTGTGCCCTCCCTCAGCACCGCCACGGCCGTCCAGGTACAGTTAAACTGGACAAATCATTTGCGTTCATGCCCTTTCTCGCCTTGCCTACTCGCCGCCCTGGACCGTGCCCTCCCTCAGCACAGCCACGGCCGTCCAGGTACGCTGAATCTGGATTGCTTTGATGCTCTTCCTAACCTTGCCTACTCGCCTCCCTGGAGGGCCCTCCCTGAGTAATGTATTGCCACGACCGTGCAGGTATGAATGAACCGTGCAAATATAGTTAATGTTGGCACTTGGCTGTGCTAAGACTCCTTGTTTCAGCAAGATTTTTTTGGGTCCTATCTGTTGAGGAGGAGACGAGTGGGCTGTGCAGGTACAGTTAGTCTGGGTGGTGAAAGGATGGGGAAGTGGACAAACTCGCTAAGACTCCAGGTTGCAGCAAGGGTTTCGCCTACCTGTTGCTAGCTCTGGACTGTGCCATTGCTTAGTGCTACCTGGGCTGTCCTGGTAGAATAAGATGCGTGGTGAGAGCGTGAGGGGGGGCATGAGGGAGAGTGCATTTAAGCTTATCCTTGCTTATTCCCTGCCCCGGATTGCTCCTTTTCTCACTGCCATGCATCGGCATGTGTGGACGAGTGTCCGTGCATGCATGTGTGCGTGAACCTGTGCGCACATATGTATGTGCATGTGTGTGTGTGTGCACCCATGTCTACGTGTGTGCATGCATGCATGCATGTGTTTGCATGTGCATGCATGGTGGCAGCAGAGGCTAGAGGGAGTGCTGCGCTCGGCGCTCAAGAACCCGGTCATTGAGGAGTCAGTCGATGTCGCTGATGGTGAGACAATGCCTCCTCCTCCCTCTTATGCTTGTAGCGATCTCTCCTCTCCTCTCCTCTCCTCTCCTCTCCTCTCCTCTCCTCTCCTCTCCTCTCCTCCCCTCTCCTCTCCTCTCCTCTCCTCTCCTCTCCTCTCCTTCCGCTCGGCGCTCAAGAACCAAGTCATTGAGGAGTCGGTTAATGTTGCTGATGGTGAGTCGCTGCCTGCTCCTCCCTCCTCCCTCCCATGCTTGTAGCGCCCTCTCCTCTCCTCTCCTCTCCTCTCCTCTCCTCTCCTCTCCTCTCCTCTCCTCTCCTCTCCTCTCCTATCCTATCCTATCCTATCCTCCTCTCCTCTCCTCTCCTCTCCTCTCCTCTCCTCTCCTCTCCTCTCCTCTCCTCTCCTCTCCTCTCCTTCCTCTCGGCGCTCAAGAACTCGGTCATTGAGGAGTCGGTTGATGTTGCTCATGGTGAGGTGCTGCCTGCCCCTCCCTTCCATGCTTGTAGCGCTCTCTCCCCTCCTTCCCTCCCACCCCACTCTCCCTCGCTCACCTTAAATTCTCCCTTTCCCCGCTCTCCTAACTCCCTCTATTTCCTTTCCTCTCATCTTTTCCCCCCATGGTCACACCTGCCCTGGTAGCTACACCTATGGTTTTATGGTTCCTGAGAACTCTCAATTTTTGCAACTGCACTGGCACACACATGCAGACACAAACACTCACGCACCTGCACACACACCTAGATATGCAGACGCACACACTCATGCAGTTGCACACTTACACCTGCACATGCATAGATACGCTTCCAAACAGATGCAGCTGCACACACACACACACACACAACACACACACACACACACACACACACACATACACACACACACACGCACACACACACACACACACATGCACGCACGCCTGAGCGCATGCACTCACACACCCATCCACCACACCCACACACACAACACACACAAGCACACACACACACACACACGCGCACACACACACACACACACTAATTCACTCACCCACCGACATGCGCACGCACGCACACACACTCACACACTCTCTCCCCACTCTCACACACTCACTCACTCACTCACCACTCTCTCACACACACACACACTCACTCACTCTGACATACACACTCACTCACTCTTTCACACACACACACTCACACACAAACATACGCACGCACATACACACACAGTCACACTCACACTCACTGCATCACACTCAGACACTGCACGCGCGCACATACACAGCCACACACACACACACTCGCTCACTCACTCACACATATACACTCACACACATGCACGTACCCCCCCTCACACACA